TTATGAATCCCTCATAAAATTTTAATAAATTTTCAACATTTTGGTATAGTTTTTGTTAGCAATATATAATTGTAAATATTTTTAATTTAATTTAAAAGTCGTACTGATACGATGGGACACCCGATATCTTAAACCAATTAAGGTATCTTAAACCGATTTTAAAAATAAATTAATAAAATGCTTGCTAATATTGTATACAACAAGCTAGTTGGGTAACATACCTGAATTTGCATTTGCTCTAATTGAGATGTACCCGGTTCATCCATTATGGATAATTTTTAATGTATTCACAAGAAAATCTTGAGTTTTAATATTTAAATTATAATAATTTTTATAACAAATTAGTAATGTCATGTATCAAACGAAAATATTTCGCATTTCTGTTTATATTTTTGTATTCTTATCAAAATTAGATTTAATTTTAGTAATAACTAAATTCTGCCTGAGTCATATAACATTATCATAATACAAATAAATATTTATTTATTATCAATTAAATTCAAGAAATTTTTATCCCTTTTAATTTTATGGGGATATTGTTACTTCATTGCAATTCACATTAATACATAAACACAGAGATGCTTGCTAATTAATTGAAACTAATTTTAATTATTATAATGTTATATGACTAAGAAGGAATTTAGTTTTAAGTGATATTAAATATAATTATGCTACAGGATACTAAAATATCATCAGAAATGCTAAATATTGTATTACTTTTGATAAAATGCAAACTTTTGAGGGCATGAATGGGATGAAGGGCATGAATTGACTTATATGCATAACGGGCGGTCGTGTCGGGTCAGCCACGGGTGGGTACGCCTGACGTTCGCAGAGAGTGTCGACTCGAAGGGGTATATCATTAAAGTGACGACCGATGCCCGGGTGGTGGAAATGAGTACAATATGGGTGAGGTGTCCAACATATTGGGTGCGCTCAGGAATATTGCGGTGGATATGGGACAGGGGCTGGACGTACAGAACCCCCGGTTGGACACAATCATCAATAAAGCCGAGTCTAATGAGTCGAGAGTACAGGCCATCAACGATAGGGCGTCCAAATTGACCAAAGACTCGGTGCCATCAATGCGGCCGTCCCTCCCATCCCTACCATCCGGTGCGTCGCTTCTCAACGGGATGTCTGGTTTAAAATGAGCTCTTTTTATGTTTTTATTTGTATTTATTTCCATATTTATCGCTAAAATAAAACAGATTTTATTTATTAAAAATTTTAATTTTTATACAAATGTTTGAATGCTTTGAAAAGAGGCAGACATTTCACTCATTCACCACAAACACGATCACCAAAATCATCATCTAATCGGGAAACTCCTACATCCGAAAAGTCAATTACAGGGGCTTTCGTAACACTATTTTATGTTCTGGAGTAGATATTTATACAGTAATTCAATTGATGTTAAAATTAGAAATTTAGAAAATTGTAATAACTTTATTTCTTGGCCTTAAGAACTACTTTTAACCATAATTTGTAATATTTGTTGAGTTTTTATTGTTAATCATTAATACTGTATTTGTTTATAAGATCAACATTTAGTTGAGGACAAGGCGTCTCAAAATAACAATAAATAAAATAAAATATAATAAAAAAGACATTCATATTAAATAGACAATATCATTATTGGTTTAATATCGTGGATGCATAATTTAATATATTATGCGATTTTCAGTAATATTTTGGTCCAATGGGCTAATGTTAACATTAATTATAATTAAATTATATTTATTTATTTCATTCGAGAATATTCAGTTATATAAATATTTATACACTATAATATTGTTACATAAACTGTAGCTAATTTAGACTATGTTTACTTTTAAGTAAATATAAAAAATAGGTACAGAAACGTATATTATATAGTTACATTGTTTTTATACTTATTTCATAAAACTAATATTAATATTATAATTATCAATAGTAGTGTAACACTACCTCCAATTATTAATTTTAATTTGTAGTTTTCCCACCAATATTTATTTTTCAACCGTTGACCATGCTGCTTAAATTGCTGGGCACCTGACTCTAGTGCATCGGCCCTATCGCTCAGGTCTATTATTTTATAACCCCTTTCCTGTGCCTTATTAACGTTGGCTCGCATTACGTCCGTCACCTCATCTACCTGTCCCATGATTTAGGATTTTAATAATATTTAATAATTTTTAATAATTTTTTGTTAATACATTTTTATAGCTACAACATTTGTATTAGTAAACATACTTGCGCTTGAAGTTTATGCAATTTTGATGTATCAGGCTCATCCATTGGGGATAACTTTTTATACATTGACTTGTTTTATGAATTTAATCAAAGAGTTTTAAATAATTTTTATTTGTATAATTAATTAACTTAATTTTAAAATTACAATTTTTAGTTACTTGTAATGTTTTATATAAATATAACGATTGAATATAAATATTTGTCAGTTATATTTTTGTTTAGTGGGCTAATATTAAAACGTTATATTAGTAATACACAGTATTTCATGTTTATCTAATCAGTTTAAAGTAAATTATTTTTAATGTAAACAATTTATTGGATAATAAAATAGTTTATTATGACTTTAGAAAACTGAAATAATATATAAATATAACTTTAATACAGTATAATCTATAACATATTATAATATCCATTTCATGGCTATTTTTAAGTTATTTTACTATTATTAAATAGCTTTTTTATTTTTTTAATTATTATTTCTATTTTTTAAAAGTCAATAATACTATTTTTAAAATATTTATTTATTAAATATATACATAAAAATTAAAATAAATGCAATAAATGCGGAAACTATTAATATGAATAAAACACTAAATTTGTGAGTTATATATCGATTATATTTGTGGCAAGATGATTTATGGTCAGAATATGTATGTATATGATTGCTTGTATTCATTATAGCAAATAAGCGTTTATTCACGAGTTTCACTACTCCATCTACCTGGGTACAAACAATTTATAAATATAATAATAAACTAAAATAAATTAATTTTATTTATAAATACCTGAGCTGGTCTACTATATTCATCTAACCGGTGACATTTAATTATATTTACCATTTCATCAATCTTGCGAATTAAATTTAAAAATTAAAATTATTTATTTAAAAATAATATGTCATACCTGATGTTTGGTTCTCAATAATTGTACTGGCTTAATGTTTGAATTAATGTTTGTCATTTTATCATAATAATTAAATAAAGATTTATAATATGAGAAACTATTTAATGTTAAACATAATTATTATAGTAATTTAATAGTAAAAACGTATTAATTTCAAAATGAATAAACATAGGGCTAGTATGTAAACAGACTTTTTTATATTGAGATAAAGTGGATATTTTTGTACCGGTATATTATATAAGCAAACATTATTTTATATACATTACACTTACTTTTAGTTCATATTACAATTTAGCGTAAGACTTTTTTAAATGCAATCAATATAATAAGTTGTAACATTTTATTTAAAATTATCGATTTCATATAAAAATATTTTTGTTTCATATTTTAATAGACTATTGTGTAAGGCTATTAAAAATTTTAAAAATCATTAAAAACTTATACTCTAGTAGCATACAGACTGAGCAACTGTACACTATTGGGGTGTATAGTGCACTATTTATTGTATTTGTCCCCTGTGTTTTCAAAAGCAAATAGTGTATGTTGAATGCACACTATTTGTAGTAACAAAATTAGTAATTATTAACATTATTAGTAGGGCCAAATAATTGCAGTTAAACTTTGCTTGCATCACTCAAAGAAATATTTAATTTTAGAGATATATTAGTCAATCAGGTATACCAAAAATAATCAATATAATTTTTTAATAATATATAATAAAATTAGTAACAAATAAAATAAACTAATTTTTAAACTAAATTAATCTAACTATGAACTAAATTACCCTAATTGTGAAGTAAGCTAATCATATTATGTACTAAATCAACGTAGTTTGAACAGAATTAACTTAATTTCGGATTAGTTTATCCTAATTGTGCACTAAATTACCTAAATTAATTCACTGTAAATTATAGAACATAATACAATATGAATATTAAAATAATATTATAAAATTTGTGTGCTAAAATTGTATTAACTCTATTAAGTAATTTTGGATAAATTTAAATTTAAAATTTATATATTTTTAGTGACCTTTGAATACTAATGAAATACAGTATTCGTTTAGCTAATGGACAACCAGTTGTTAAGGTTAATTTTATTTGTATTGTATTATTTATAAAAAATAAATTTATAATTTATTTTAGATATTAAATTTATATGTATAACTACTCCAATTAATTTAAAATGTTTATCATTCATATTATTCATAAAAAATATAAAAAATAAAATTAATTTATTAAATATTTATATTTTAAACTTAGCAATTTGTAATTTATTTACAATTTTGTTTATATTTTGCTATTTAAATCCCGAGAGAAATTGAAATAAAGATTATTTATGCCTGTTATTACTTAAAATTTCATATATCAGTATCATTTGAAGTAATTTAGTAAATAAATACAAGTACTTTAATATTTAATGGTTTTGGTTATTAAATTAAAAAATTAATTAATACAAGAATTATCTTAAAAATGTAAATATTAAAATAATATTTCTTTGAATTTGGTTATTAATTTATTTTAACTCTATGAGGGCCATAAAATAATAACTAGTACAAATTAGGAAATACATATTTTCAAGGTTAGTGTAATAATTTCAAATGATTTATGAAATATATTTTTGCTAAAATAAAGTCTGATAAAAATATTTGTTTTTACAAATGGATTAAAATATTCCATAAAAAAAGAAATGCCAAATAAACTAATCTTATGATTTGATAAAATAACCTTTATTATTGAATATCAATATTAGATTAATCTATTCACGCGTGTTTAATAAATTTTCTATTTATCATTAAGTTATCAGTAATTTTCATATAATAATAAGTATTTTCCCTTTTAGTATTTATCAATTGATTGTAATAATGTTGTTTGTTCAAGGTGTTTACTATTTTAAATTTTATCAATTACTAACATTACTGGTGAAATTGATAACAAAACAGGAATTGTTATTATTTATATTGATAATACGAAAATAAATACTATGTTTTGCTCAGGGTATAAAAGGCGCAACTTTATTAACGAAATATTACAATAAAAGTTAGTTGCTAATTAAGTAATAAACAGCTTGAATTTTAATATATTAGACAAGTATAATTGTATTATTTGTACCATCATGCGTGTAATGATTTTCGTATTGAGTACATTATTTGTCTTGGTCACTTTTGGTAAGAACGATAGTTAAATACTTAACTTTAATATCAAATAATTTAGTTTAATTAAATATTAATAAACTTTATATACTAGTTGTAAACTTTACTGGTATGTATTTTATATACTTAATAATTAAAGAATAATATAAATAAATACCACATATTATTAACCCAGTAGCTATAAGTATTTTACAAAACTATAGTAACATTTATATAAACATAGCAAATATGCAAAATTATTTTATTTGCAATATTTAGGCGACTCAATAAGTATCAAGGAAGATTTCTCGGAGACTATAGCCAAGGAATCAACAGATGTGGAATCATTCGAGCAAGGTAATACCATAAAAAATTATTTTATAAAACTTATATTACATTTTTGTAATTAACGATTATTAATTTTAATATGTCTGCATTGCGTTATAGCCCTAAATGTGACCATGTTCAAAGTGGGGGGACGTAACTGCTGGAAGTGTTCGTACCCGTGCGCGGGCGCCACCTGTTGTGACGGCTATTACCCGCAGTGTTGCCGTATAACGCAATGTAGTTGTTGTCACGTATAAAATATACAGTATAATCATGACTAATATCATCAGGGTGCAATCAATTTTAATTTTTACAAAAGATACAAATTATATAGTACAAACACAATAATTGCATTGTTATAAATAAATAGTTTTAATAAGCGTAAAAACATTCAAAATACTGTAAAATTAGCAGTATAATTAATTAAAATAAAATTTCAAACAAATATAAAATATTTTTAGTTATATTAATAAAACGAATTAATGTAATAATAATTTTAATATACCAGTAAGTATAAATGTATTAAAAAATATATGAAAACATGTATGACCTTTTGTTAAGTAACTAACAAATGAATGACCATCATATATATATATTTTATATTAACGATTGTCATGTATATAATACAGGTGGCCGGTAATAACTATCACGTAACCTTGTTGAATAATATTTTATAAATTAAAGCAAAATGTTTTTAATTATCGTCGTATTTTCTATGAATTATTTAATGTTATTTTATAAATTATTAATTTAAATAAATTAATAAAGCCAAATTTTATAATCAAATTATAAACGCAATAATATCTACAAAATTGAATCATTAATATAAAAATAACTAATATTTATAGATCTATAACATAGCCATGTTTATTTATCTGATTTATAACAAAAGTGTTAATAAAATGGGTAACAATTTATATTTCAATTTAAAGTTTTCAATTTATATTGTTTGGTTAATAAATAAACGAATTCTTATTGATCAAGGTACAGTCCGGAAATTAATTTCTTTACCTGATATATATCTAACTATTATTTTTACTTTATTATTATTTAAAAATTTTAGATTTTATTAATTTTTGTAATCAACATTAGAAATAAAATTTTATTTTGAGTTTTAACAAAATCATTAGAAAATTATTATATTAATTACAAAATGAACTAAAAATACACTTTAAAATATAATTTAAAAATTAACATTTTTTTGTCGCTCAATAATTAAATCCATTTCAACAAAAAGATAAATATTTATATTTTAAATTTGACAATTTG